CACCCAGTGCAGTCGAATTATCACAGGAGAGCCCACGTCGTCATCCACGGATGTGTTTGGAAGAGCAAAGCTACCTCGGGTTGCCAGGCGGGGTTGGGGCGGGGTAGGGACCAGGACAATGCTCCGGTCCACCCCCGGGAGGCCCCTTCGGAGGCGTGGCGCCTGTGAATGCAGAGAAGGGACAATATTGTTAGCGTAATGATTCATTCCCCTTCCTCCCACCTATCTAAAGTCATTTTCCCAAATCCTTTCTTTTCGAGGGACTGAAATGAATTTTCTCCAGCTCTGACTTGGAATAAATTTTCCTCATTAGGCCAAAAAAATCTGCCTGGACCACATGCAGAGTACTCTGTCTTATATTGACACAGGTAATATAGTCATGCAATTAAAGGCAGCCTGGGGAACAGTAAGAGAGAAGGCACCCAGGGGAAATTTAAACCCCCCCCCCCCCAACATCCTTAACATCTGTGTCCTTCCACACTCTTTCTCTCCAGCCTTTTGTTTCCCTGGGACTCCCACCTGCCCAGGTCTTCCCCAGCCAGCCTCAGAAAGAGCCTCTAAACCTTCGAACAGGTTTGGGTCTTTTCTTACCTAGAAAGGCAACTTTGAAGGCTCTCGCTCTTCTTAAACACTTCTAGCTTTCATTACCCTTAACTAGCCAGTTACTAAGTACCCTGTTACCATGACTGCCTTGTACCATCTCATACGTGTCTTATGGGGGATTTTGCCCCCCCAGGGGAATTTTGGTTGTCTCAGCTTGGGGGTAGAGGCCAGGGGTGCTTCTGAATATCCTATAATATACCGGACAACAAAGAATCGTTTGGTCCAAAATTTCTACAACGCCAAGGTTGAGACACCCTGCGTTGGACTTTGCAGGACTGGGCCTCATTCACGCTGTCCCCTGGTACATGTGGCCCTCGGGACACACACATTGTCGGGGGTCGGGGGGTGGGCCCCCGACATGCAAGTGTATTTGCAAGACCACCGTTAGGGTTGTTGACACAACAGTAATTGAAACTTGTCTGAAAATATATATAGATCATCCGCAGTGCAATTTGAGATTGAAAAATTATATAAAACCACAGCAGTTTTCAGAAATCTGCTTTTTCCTGCCTACATTGACCTACATAGACCTGCAGTCAACTGTCTGCTGAAAGAATCCCTAATTCACTTATATCTTGCCGTGTGGCTGTTGTTTCCTAAGCTCGTTAATGTATAGGATCTATCCAGGCTCTTGGCGAACTCAGACAGTGAAGGGGTGAAATTAAAGATTGTTTCCCCCATATCTTCCTCTGTCTCCCAAAGGAAGGTGCCTCGGGATGGTCACTGATTCTTGATCCATCCATCCGACAACAGCTTTTGAGTGTTTAGTATGTGCCAGGTGATGTTCTCAGCTCTGCGGTGGCAACTGTGGACCAGACAGACAGACATAGTCTGCACTCGTGTGCTTACCATCAGAGGGCCGGGGCGGTTTCTTCTTCAATATACTTTTCAAGTACTATAGAGTCTATGAAAAAAAAACCAAAAACTAAACAGGCTCAGGAAATTGGGGGATTCGTACGTTTGGGTCCAGATAGAGTGGTCATGGAATTTTCTTTGAGCAGAGAACTGAAAGCGTGGAAGCAAGTCCTAGGGATGCCCGGGCGAGGAGCACTCCAGGCAGCGGTGACGGCATGTGCAAAGGCCCTGGGGAAGCGCGGGGCACGTGGGCAGAGAAGAGAGGGAGGGCAGTGAGCCCCAGGAGGCCAAGGGGCCAGATCCCCGGGGAGTGGATGAGCTGATGAACGAGGGGGTGTCGTGTCCTAATGTAAGCGTTGAAAGCGTTCCCCTGACTGCCGCGTGGAGAGGAGGCCGTCTCAAAGGTGGAAACCAGGAGAGCAGTTCGGGGACAGCAGCAGTAACCCAGGTGGGGGTGGCGTTCACTGAGGCAGCGAAGATGCGAGGCGGTGAGATTTAGCGCATTTCCCAGCGCAGCGGAGGCGCCGCTGGTGGGCTGGCCGCCAGGGCTGCGGAAACGAGCGGTGCCAAGAGCAGGTCCCCAAGGTCTGAGCCCAGGGGCTGGGAGCGGGGCTGCCATGGACTGAGACAGGGCGGGCCCTGGCGAGTCAAGGGGGTGGGACGGTGGCCCAGAAGCTGAGTGGAACGTGTTCACCTTGAGGTGTCCATTCAGTGTCTACGCGGAGGCCTGAAGGAGGCGGCTGAGTGTCCAGTCTGGATGCAGCCTCACCCACTGGCTGGGGAGCTGCTCCGGGCTGGGAGGAACCACAGGAAACCTCAGTCTGAGGGCCTGATTCGGGTGAGGCCGTGTCCCCCAAAGCCCAACGTCCGTTATGTAACAAAGTGGGTTTTCCAAACGCATGTGCTAAAAAATGGGCAAATTAGTTCGTTTACCTCTTGTTACTTATATAGACACGTCTGTGTGATTAAAAGTAAGTACGTATGAAAGGTTTAATTTCACAGAAGAGTTTTCTGCCTGGATTACAGTCCCTTTAAATTGATACTGACCAGGCCTAGTCAGGGACTCTCCCCAGTCACCGTGACTCAGCAAAGCGCAGGGGGCGGGGCCTGGCGCACGTGGGAGCCTCGGTGGGCACGTGTCACAACAGTGCAGAAAGTCAGGCCACGGGACGACAGAGCCAGTTAAGCAGTCACCCCGTGATGCCGGGTGACCACGTGCTGATCGGTCCCGGAACATTGTTTACCAGCCGTGACTCTTGGATTTAAATATGTGGACTGTAGTTGTCCATAGGTAATATTCATGTCGGCGAAATTACTAGTGTTTTTTCCAACATACGGCCTAGCCACTAAAATTTATCAAAAATAACAGTGAATCAACAACAAAAACATAACCTGATAACTTAATTCTAAGCAAATCTTGGTTGAAAGCATTTTAAAATTAACAGGGTGTTAATTTTCACATATGACATACTGACGGGAAATTTTGTCCTTTAAATCCCACGACGTCTGCAAAATGAAGGGTTTACAGTATTTTGGAAAGGTTAGCATCGAGATGGTTAATAAGGTCATGAGCCCGGATGAAAAAATACAACCACCACCCCGGCTCCAGGGTGAGCTAAAGAGCAAAGGGGTCCACGCACTGAGCCCCGAGACATTTAGGGGATGGGACAAAAAGCTAAAGAGAGGGGAAGCCCCCTGCTCAGGAAGGGTCGCCAGGCCGCTCTGAGGGCCCCGCTGAGATTTGAGGTTATGAACTTAAGAGTGAGACTTGTTTCAAAATGGTTGGAGAAAACCCCCAACGGCTACGGTGTGTGGGCAGAAAGGAGGAGAGAGCTGGGCTTCACCCAGGTCGGGTCTGCCTGGGAGACGCGATTGGAGTCGGGGGCAGGGCGAGGGAGGTGATAATCCGTGAAAGGGAGTGACTGCGAGGATGGGCCGGGGACTCTAGTCTTGTAACGAGAGAAGGGAGGAGATGGTAGGTCGGTGAGTTGGCCGGTGGAAGAATTACTGAGCAGCTCCCCTACCCCGTCAGGATCCTCATGTGATAACGCATCTCAGGCTGGATCGTGAATGATCGTTAGTGGAGTCTCTGCCTGTTTTGGAAAGAGCATGAGGATGCTGGCCATCAAATGCAACACCTCCAGAATCTTAGCTAAGCACCTGACACGGTGCCTCGTACATGGTAGACCAACCTAATAAAGCACTGAATGAATGAATGAGTGAATGAATGAGTGAATGAGCTTAAATAGTGGCTGCGTTTGGCTTCCTAGTGAGATAAAATAAAAGCCAGACATTAGTAAGAGGAGTATTTTTGGATAAACAAGGTTTGCAGTATCACGGTGGACTTTCCTCTTAGATGTCCAGGTAGGGCCACCCCCATATTTTGAGAAGACAGATTCCCCACCTAGTTACCCCTTACCTTTTTTTTTTTTTTTTTTTTTTCTGTTTTGTTTTTATGGGAATGTAACTTTACATTCTTTTAGGAGTGAAACTGCTAAGACTTATAGTATGTTTAAATTTATAGAAGACTGCCAAACTGTNTACCCATAGAGGCTGTGTATTTGCCACTTCTTTTAAAAAGATCGAATCAGATGAACAGCTTCTTGCTTTGGTTGAGAGGCAACAGAGAGAAATCTCGGCCGCCCTTCCCGCTTCCCCACCTGCTCAGCCCTCTCCACCCCATCTCCTTGTCCAGGTCTTATCGTTGTCACCCCGAAGCTTCAGAGGCACCTCCAGCACTTTGAAGAGACAAAGGAAAAAATTCTGGGGAGACAGCAGCTGCCTAATCTCTCTTTTGTAGCAAATTTAGCTAGAACTCAGAAGAAAAATAAATCTTAAGAGCCCCCCTTTTTATACAAACAGCCTCCCTGCTTTTTTATACTTTCACTCGCCCGGAAGCAAACATGCAGACTTGGCCTGGCGAAGGGCTTTCAAAGGCCGCCTTTCCCCTTAGCAGCTGGAGAAGGGAAACAAAAATAATATGTAGTTGTCTAGATCCCTACGAAGTTGGCCGTAATGTCTGTGAGACCCTGACCGAGTTCCTCCCCCGACATCCCCGCGAGCGAGGCTCTCAGCCGAGGAGCCGTGGCTGACGACAGACGCGGGCCTCGCTCGGGGGCTCCCTTGGTCCCCCACACCCTTTGCAAGGCTGCAGCTGTGGAGAGAAAACGGGGGGAGCGATGCAAAGACGGCAAAGTTCTCAGTGTGCAAAAATTAGACTTTTGCGTCAGTGGGAGCGGAGCCTTCCCAAATATTAAAAGGTGTGCACCTGCGAATGCTTCTGCTCATGTTTGCCAAGAACCGACAACCCCCCCCCGCCCCCGGTCATGTTCCGAACCCCAACCTCTCTCCCCTGCTTGAAACCGATGCCGCTTCCATGCCCGTCACAGCCACCCGTTGTCGCCATGTGTCGTGTCCAGTCGCGTCGGTGTGATGCCGTGGCCGCCATCGCCCCGCCACCCCCCCATCGTGTCCACGCATGCCGTGTGCATTGACCCCGTGACGGTACACACTCCGTGTGCATTTCTGTTCTTCTTTGCAAGACTGTGAATGCTTCGGCCACTCCAATCGGTGCAGTTATATCGATCTGCTCGATACGGTCATTTGCGTGAGCTGTAAACACAACACTAGAGGGCAGCACTGTGAGTTGTGCAGGCTGGGCTACTTCCGAAACGCCTCTGCACCGCCCGAGGATGAGAATGTGTGCATAGGTCAGTCCCATTACACCGCCCGCGACGGCCCGGCCCTCCGAGCCCGGGCGCGGGGCGCGGGGGGA